GAAAAATCTAAACAGGCAGTTTGAAAATCAAGGCCAAAATATGCGCGTAGAAATTCGTGAAACTTTTGGGTAGGAAGTATTTTGTAGAAATTTTAAAAATACAAACATTGAATATCTCTGGCCGAGAGACTGGAAGAGGACGAGAGCCTGGAATCTTTTATATGGCCAAGTGCCACCCCAGGACCGCGGTACCAACCCTCAAGCACATCTAGGCCCCGCGTACGAGCGTCTCAAAGTTGTGGCGGGAAAATCGCTAACTCGAGAACCAGAAAAACTAGAAAGTTGAAATTTTTGGATTATGTTTTAACATATGCAGTTTGTTTGGCGGAACTTGGAAACCCCGCGCTGATGCTTTAGTGATAATTAATGGCCGCACTGTAGTATCTTCAAGATCTTACACGCCGATCTTGTTGATAAGCAGTGACGCAGTAACATCGGGAGTTCCAGATTATCTCGATGACTAATATCCATTGCGTTGTGATAATACCAGAGGCTTCAAATTGATAATTTGGGCCCTTATTACTTCTGGTTTATTTTTTTTTTGTCGGGTCATCTAGTTATCTGTTCGCATTATTAGGCACTTTTTTTTTTACTTTATATTCTTCAGGCATCTGTCTTCAAATCAGGAGATTCTTGTAAATTCACTGGAATTCCTGGAGCCATACGCAGGCCCATCATTTCGATCGTCGATGGAGAAATTTCGTGTTGCCTTTGGTTCAGTGCCCACAAATTTACACCTGCAGCAGTTTTCACTGGAAGGACATTTGTACAATTATCTCACTGTCGGTACTGCAAGTGCCATTCCTCTTCGTTTTGCAGTAAGATTTTTGCATTTTTTGCAGCTATGCAACGCAGAAAACGCATATGGACGAGGGTTTTTTTTTTTGTGTGTGTATCTGTGTGAATCTGTGTGTTCGTCTGTACCGATTTTTCATCTTGAGACCAACAAAAGCTACGGGGCTGAAATTTTGGGGACTTAATCTGCATGCATAAGAAGCTAGAAAACTGGAATTTTGAAGGGGTGCTCCCTGACAGTTCTGGTGGCTATTATTAATCTGCCTGGTTGAAGCATTTGCCGGAAAAACCGCTGCCGGTAGCGACAAAAACTGTGGGGAACTATGCTAAAAACGCATCTTCGCACGGGCAGCCGTACGTTGGCCAATTATTTTTTTTCTTGCGTTACATTAGTTTTTTTCCGAAGATAACCGTCGTCGGTTTTGTGTAATTTTTACTTTTAATTAGTTCCATTCAAAAATGATCGCTGTCTGATCTTTGTTACAGCATGGTGGCCTAACAAAACAGCGCATTGCGCTACACAGCTCGATTAACGACCCGAAACAAATTGATCACATCCTCGATTCGCGATTCTATCACAGGCGACGCATTTTGTTGGGCGCCAAAAGTACCATTGGCGATTTGGCAAGACGCATCGAAACGGACTGGCATATTGCCGATTTTGGAAAAGTCGACAAAACTGGGGTGCAGCTGTTGGCCGAGATAAAGCAAGTACGATTGTTGTCAAATTTATATTTTTTAATAAATTTCACCCCTGAAATTTTGTCCGGGAAACGGAGGGAGTGGATGTAATGCAAATATGATTTTAACTCTCACCTCCCTTCCGTTTGTTGTCACTCTCCAGCA